GCCCAAGAGGAAGGCCTCTGGTTTCTTTAGAAAAGTATATTTCAATACCTTTTTTAATTCATTATATATCATTTCCCAGAATACCTTGATCTTTGGGCACGTCCACCAAAGGTGAAAAAAAGTACCTTCGTTTTCTTTACATTTCCAACATTTATTATCAGGCAAATGATAAATTTTTGCTAGCTTGACTGGGGTTAAGTACCACCTGTAAATCATTTTCATTATGTTTTCTCTTAAAGCATTGCAAGCCGTAAATTTCATACCTGTGGTCCATAACCGTTCCCAGTCAGCAAACATAATGTTATGCCCAACATCTTGCGCCCATTTAATCATAACAGATTTAACCATTTCATCCTGTGTATTCCATTTCAACAGCAGATTATACATTCTTGACAAATTTTTAGTTTTAGGTTCTAACAATTCCGTTTCCAGTTTAGATTTTTCCTCCGGAAACCAATCTTTTTGTCTAAGTTAAAAACCTCCCTTATTTGATAATAATGCAGCCAATCTCGAACTTTAGTTTTTAATTTGTCGAAACTCTGCAATTTTAGTTTATCTCCAACTTGTTCTAAAATTTCACAATATTTTGGCCAGTTTGTCTCCATATTAGTTTTTTTCAATGCCTTTGCCTCCATTGGTGACAGCCACCTTGGTGTTTTACTTTCCAACAAATCCTTGTATCTCACCCAAACATTAAACAATGCTTTCCTGACAATATGGTTCTTAAAGGCCTTATGCGCTTTAACTTTATCATACCATAGATATGCATGCCATCCAAAAACGTTATCAAAACCTTCTAAATCCAAAATGTCCACATTTTCAAGAAGTAGCCAATCTTTCAGCCAGCAAAAAGCGGCTGATTCGTAGTAAAGTTTAAGATCTGGCAGGGCAAATCCCCTCTTTCCTTCGCATCTGTTAATATCTTAAATTTTATTCTAGGTTTTTGCCCTGCCAGATAAATTTGGAAATGTCTCTTTGCCACCTCTTGAAACAGTCCATTTTGTCCACAATTTGTAATGTTTGAAACAAAAACAACATTCTAGGCAGTACATTCATCTTTATCGCAGCAATTCGGCCAAGCAATGATAACTTCAATTTCGACCATATTTCTAGATCCTTCTTCACCTCTGACCAACATTTTTCATAATTATCTTTAAACAAATTCACATTTTTAGCAGTCATATTCACCCCTAAATATTTCACTTTGTTAACAATTGTTAATCCTGTCTCTTTCTGGAACCTCTCCTTCTCTATCTCTGTAAGATTTTTCTCTAATACCTTGGTTTTCATCTTGTTTAATTTAAAACCAGCTACTTGACCAAATTCTTGTATTAATTGTAGCACCCTTTTTGTGCTAGCTTCTGGCTCCTGTACTGTCAAAACTAAATCATCAGCGAAAGCTTTCAATTTGTACTGTTTAGCTCCGAGTTGTATACCTTTAACCAATTGGTCTTTTCTAATCATATTGAGCAAAACCTCGAGGACCGATATAAAAAGCAATGGGGAGATTGGGCAGCCCTGTCTTGTTCCTTTCTCTATCTTAAATTCTTCTGTAACTACATTGTTCACAATAAGCTTAGCTTTTTGTTCCGAATAAATTGCACTTATACCATTTTCGAAACTTTGGCCTACCCCCATCCCCTGCAGATTTTTCTTCATAAAACTCCAAGAAATATTATCAAACGCTTTCTCTGCATCTACAAATATTAAAACAGCTTTAGTATTAATATTGACTTGCAATTTTTCCAAAATGTTAATGATGTTCCTAGTGTTGTCTGACAAATGTCTCCCAGGCAGAAAACCCGCCTGGTCTTTATGAATCTCTTTTACCAATACGTTTTTAATCTCTTGGCCATAATTTCAGCAAAAATTTTGTAATCCACATTTAACAGGGATATGGGACGGTAGTTCTTCAACTGTGTCTTCTCCCCTCGGTTTTTGGTATAAGTGTAATGTACGCTTCTTTCCACGACTCGGGTGCTTTTCCTCCCGTAGTATTTCATTACAAAGTTCTTTCAACGGTTGCAATAACCATTCTTTCAAAGTTTTGTAGTACTTTGCAGTTAGTCCATCCGGCCCTGGAGATTTGCCCAATTTCATATTCTGAATGGCTCCTTCCACTTCTTGATCAGATATAATCGAATTTAATATTGATTTACTGTCTTGAGATATTTTTTGTAATCCATTATTTTCCAAAAATCGGTCAATGTCTAAATCTTTCTGAGTCTCCTGCGTGTATAGCTGTTTGAAATAGTTCTGAAAGCACTTCCGAATCTCTCCAGGATTCTGTATATTCTTTCCTTCTACAACCAAGTTCGTGATTGTATTCAGCTTTTGTCTTTTCTTCATTTGCCAAGCCAATAACTTCCCACATTTATTTGCCGATTCGAAGGTCTTTTGTTTCATCTGTTTAATCTTCCATTCTATCTCCTGATTCATCAATTTCATATACTGTACTTGGTATAACTTTATTTCTTTTAAAATCTCCTGTGAGTTCGGTTTCGCTCTCAGTCTTTTTCTCCATCCTTTATTTTCTCCAAGATTTGTTCTCGCTTCTCATTTTGATATCTTTTCCTAATTGCATTTTGTTGTATCAGGAATCCTCTCATCACCGCTTTACTAGCATCCCAAATCACTCTTTTTTCTATCGTAGTATTCAAATTTATTTCAAAATAGTCTCTCAAATTTTTTTGAGCCTTTTTAACAATTTCCTCATTCCTAAATAGGGAGTCATTCATCCTCCATCTAAAGGCCCCAATTGGCATTGATGTCATTTCAATCTTTACTGGATTGTGATCGGAGCAGATTTTCGGACAAATCACTGCTTTTTTAATTTTAGGAGCCAGTCCTCTAGTTATCCAGATTTGGTCTATTCTTGTCCATGTCATATTTGCTTCAGAGAAGAAGGTTCCTTCTCTTTCCAAGGGGTTCTTTGTTCGCCAAATATCCACAAGATCCATATTGTCAGTCATTTCAAAGAATGTCTTTGGTAGTCTTCCATCTTTTGTCACTGTTTGTCTTTGGGCCTTGTCCATATTTGTAGACACTACTCCATTCATGTCTCCCATCAAGATGATATTGTAATCCAAATAGTCCAAGAGAGTTTCATGCAATTTCTTGAAGAATTCTGATTTTCCCTCATTTGGTGCATATACACCTAATATCAAGAATTTCTGTCCTTGGAATTGAATTTCAATTGCTATATATCTTCCTTGATCATCTTTAAATATGAATTTTGGTGACAGGCTTTCCTTCGCATAAAGTACTACCCCTCTTTTTTTAACATTGTCCGATGAAATAAATTCCTCTCCCAATCTTTTATTTATCAAAATTTTCCGATGCAGCCTTGTCACATGAGTCTCTTGTAAACAGATCAAGTCCAAATGTTCTTTTTTCAATGTATGAAATACTCTTCCCCTTTTAGCCGACGAATTTAGACCATTAATGTTCCAGCTTAAAATTTGTAGTGTCATTTTGTAACTACTCTCCTTCTCCTCCAGCAGCCCCAAGAAGATTGTCTATGTCTGTCGGTGGCGTTGGTTTCCTTTTTTGCTGACTCTTGTCCAGTATCGCAATGTCTTTTCCCAGTCCTTTCAGTAGGTCTTCTTCGTATGCACTCAGGAACTTGTTCTTTTCCTCCACTGATCTGATCTTGGTCTTTCTTCCCTTAAAACTAAAGGATAGGCCTTGGGGAAATTCCCACCTGAAAAGAATTTTATTTTTTCTCAACAAGTCCACCAAGTCTCCAAAATCCTTTCTTAAATCAAGAAGATGTTTTGGTATATCTTTAAAAATTTCAACTTTTGATTGTATAATTGTCAAGGGTTTTTCATAATGTAAACCCAAAATTTTGTCCCTTTCTTCCTTAGATCGAAGAGTAATCAAACAGTCCCTTATTTTAATCTTTCTTCCTCCTTTCCCCAATCGAAAGGCCCTCACGATCTTAAAATCCTCTTGTTTCAATTCCGATTTCCAAAAGTCCAGAAATTCTTGTGTCAAAAAGTCTATCAAAGTACCTTTCTCCAACTCAGGAACAGCTCTGATTCTGAGATTCGTTTGTTTGTCTCTGAGGTCTATCATAGATAACGTTAGCTTATGTTCTGCGATCTCTTTCTGTATGTCTGGTACTTTTTCAGTTTCCAACTGCCCCAATTTAAACTCTACAGCAGCAGTTTTTTCCTGTATTGACTTTGAGTCTTGCAGCAATTTCTGGATAGATTCCGTATTGCTGTTTACTTTTTTCTCCAAGTTGCCTAATGTTTCTGTATTTAGGTCAATTTTCCTGTTTGCAATATCCACTTTCTGACTGGTCTCTTCCACCTTCCTGTTCGTCTCTCCCACTTTTGTAGATAGCTGCTGTATTGAATCATTAATCTTAGACAGAGCACTAGCCAAAAATTCCTCCGACATTCCACCAAGCTTAGATTGTGTTGCCGATGTAGGCAGACCAGCAGATGATTGCCTTCTATGTGTCCAAGGTTTCCCTGATCTCAAGGTTGACTGGTCCTTAAAACCATCAGCCATAACAGAGTGAAGGTCAGGTTACTTTCCCACGTCCACTCTTCCTGTTTATACTTGGAAAATTCCTTTCCTTTCCTGCAGTTACAGAAAGTCCCACTAGATGGACACTGTTGCCACTTAACAAGTTACTGTCTTTTAAAACAACAAGGGAAAGATACTAAGTAAGAGGAAAAAAAGAGTCCAAAGTAAAAGCCACAATATAACTTTTCAGTCTTTTCCAGTCTTTTCTCAGTAAGATTGGCCACTCTGTATCTCCTTTGCAGCCAGCAAACAGCTTTAGCAATTTTGACAGCTTTGACAGCTGAGTGACAGATCACTCATTTAGTCTTTCAGTTTAAACAATCCTGTAAAATCAAAAGTCTTTCCCTTAACTCTCCTAAGGGTAGATCCCTCCAAAGTCCTCAGGTCAGAAGATTACACTTATTTCAATTCAGCTCTTCACGTTTAGCTCCAAATCTCTTTGCTTTGTTCTTTATACAATGCAGTGAAGCCGACTTCCTGTTTAAGCTTCCACCGCGGTAGCCAATTCAGCCATTTTTTAAAAGCTTTAAACTTTTCCGCTTTTTTACCAAAGTTCCAAATTAGTCCAAATTCTACTCTTTTGTCCAATTCCTCTACTCACGGTTAGTTTTTAAGTCCGAATTTCCCAGGAATAAGTCAGCGCTCTCCAGCAACGGCAACGCGGCTTCGCTCAGCGGGAGCAGCGATCCGCTCGCAGCACCGCGCTTCTCTCCCCCGCTCCCTTCCGAAGCCCCAAAAAGGCTTCTTTTCAGGTTGGGGGGGCGCTTCAGGGTGCCCGCCGAGCCTCCACGTTCGCAGGCGTCCGCGCCTGCGATTTCTGAGGGTCCCCGCTTCGCCGGAGCGCACAGGACCCGATCTCCCGCTGAGCTACCCCCTCCGAACTTCAAAGGAGGTCAGCCATTGCTGCTGGCACCAACCGGAAGCCCCCTTCTGCCTTACTTCAGGGCAGATTTGAGGGTAAACCATACACAGCACGGGTCTGCCCTTGTGGCTCGTTGGAAGTTGAAACTGCTTCACATGTACTATTACGTTGTCGTCTTTATGAGGATATACGTTTGACTTTTATTACACCTGTTTTGCAAAAGTCCAGGAAAGAATCGGAACACCATAGTTTAAAATTACTGCTAGAGGACAAGAATCCCAAGACTACATTAAATGTAGCCAAATTCTGTGCTTCTGCAATTAATCGCAGGAAGCAAGTGGTATCCCATGGTGACCAAACCCCCAAATGTTAATTACAGGGGGCACGCTAATAATTAACTTTAATTTTTTATATTTAAATCCTTGTTATATTCATATTGTCCTCTGTATTTCTGATATTTTTTTTTTTTATGATCTGTGATATTGTGTGTGTTGACGCTGGTCTGTGACCGTATTAATAAATTCATTCATTCATTCAATCTCTTTGAAATTCATTCCACACAGTTCTTAGATTCCTGCTTACGGTTAGCAAATGCAACAAACTTCTTTCTGGGGTGGAGGGTTATTAATAATCACATAAGGCAAAGAAAAGAAAAGTTTTTTCCTCCACCCCCCTTCCATTTCAGTCCAAACGTACCAGTGTCTTGATGGTAATTCCTCACTTGATTTATTTATCTTGTCTGTTGCTCCGGTCACAGAGATCCATTAATCAGCAGTCTTATCACCCGAACTTCACTTGATGTATGTGCTTTAGCTTCTTTTCCAATTATATGTTTCCAATTATATTTTCGAGCTAAAGCGAACCAGCATGCGCTGATTGGAGACGGCGTCCGGGAAGAGCCGACTTCACCGAGGGCTGTGCCAAGTGACCGGCACCCCCTTCTTACAAATCCGGGGGTGCATTGTGGACACCGCTGGCAAGGCTGTCTCCCCCATCTCCTTGGGGGGTCAGGAAGACTGCATACTTCCCATAGCAGCCTCTTAATTACCTCGTGTGGGTCGGAGAGATGTTATTGCCGGCCATCTTCCAATGCGCCACCTGGTGGCCCCCCCTTTCCGTTCCGTTTCAACATACCAGTTTAGATGTTCTTTGATGTTATCTTCTTTCCAATCCACCACTCTTAGCGTCTCAGTGGCTGGCTTAATTAGCAGATAAAGTACCCCTTCTTTCCTCGAAACATGTCCAATAAATCTTGTATCCAATCTTTTATCTTAAGAAATGGAACTTGGAGCGCTCCCGGAGACAGTGTCCAGGAGATCTGAGCTCGCTCGAGGGCTTTCCATCCAGTGCCCTCACCCCCTCCTTCTTTTCGAACTCGGGGGTGATTTATGGGCAGCCGCGGATGAGACTGCGTCTTCCCTTCCACCGGGAAGAATCTAGGGAGGCTGATTACTCCCATCTCAGCCTCTTAATTACCTCGTGTGAGCTGGAGAGATGGTATTGTCGGCCATCTTCCAAGGCGCCCCTAGCGGAACCCAGAATAATGTTATAGATTTCAATGGGATTCACGGAAGGGCCAAGTTTATTCAGCAGTTTAAATGAATGGGGCATGGAAGTGCTTAACTGGTTATTGAGCAGGACCAAAACCTGGGGGAAGGAATCTTCAGTCTCTGTAGCAAACAGCAGGCACACAACATTTTGTATGGAATGCAGAGCCAGTTCTTCTCATAAGCAAGCAAGGGGAGCCCCTGAGGTGCTGGATGCACCACTAGAACTGGCGGCATGGTGTGAGTACTAAGGTTGGTTTTGCTCTCTGCATTTTTCCTGAAGTTGTTGAGCTGTGAAAATCATGTCCACTGTCCCCCTAGAAGGCTGAAAACCATTTTGGGATTCAGGAATGGTCACCTCGGATAATGTTAAGAGACGGTTTGCTAAGATCCTTGCAAGGATTTTTCCGGCCACAGCTAATAGAGAGATGCCTTGATAGTTTCCGCAATCAGTTCTGTCACCTTTTTAAAAAGAGATTATAATTTTGGCATCCCTGAAGTCTACTGGGATCACTTCTCTCTCCCAGATTTTTTTAATGAGCTTGTGAAGTTGTTGTGTAAGTTCAATTCCACCCACTTTGAAGATTTCAGCAGGTATCCCATCAGGTCCACTGGCTTTGTTGTTTTTCACTTGGTTAATAGCTGTACACAACTCTCCCAGATTTGGAGATACAGCAAGCTCATCTCTAATTTGTTTTTGCAGGATTTGTGAGAGGACCTCAGCAGCTATGGGGGAGTTGTGGTTAAGGAGATGTTGGTACAGTGGTACCTCATTCTGGAGGTCCGTTCTTAACCTGAAACTGTACTTAACCTGAAGCACCACTTTAGCTAATGGGGCCTCCTGCTGCCGCCGCGCCGCCAGAGCACGATTTCTGTTCTCATCCTGAAGCAAAGTTCTTAACCTGAGGTACTATTTCTGGGTTAGCGGAGTCTGTAACCTGAAGCGTATGTAACCTGAAGCATATGTAACCCAAGGTACCACTGTAGTGTCCTTTCCAGCACAGTGCAATAGCTTCTTTATCTTTTAGAAGTGTGGAACCATCTGCTGAGCGTAGGGGGCATATGCCATGATTTATTGGTCCATAGATGGTCTTTGTGGCTTTAAAGAAACTCTGTGCATCATGAGTGTCGGCTAAGTGCTGGATCTCTTGAGCTTTATTTTTAGCCACCAGGTGTTTTTTAGTTCTCTGGTTCTTAGCATTGGCATAGGGTTTTTTTCTTAGTGGCACAGTTTCTTTCTCTTTGCCAGATCTGAAATGCCTTCCTTTTCTTGTCAATCATGCATTCAATCTCACTGTCATTCTCATCAAACCAGTCCTGGTGTTTCTTGGTTTGGTATCCAATAGTTTCTTCACAGACTGCAATAATGGATGTTTTTAGCTTGGTCCAGTGTTCCTCGATGTTATCAGGGAATTCTGAAAGCAGATGGTCCTTAAGAGTCGTTTAGAAGCAATCCCGCTTAATGGGAACTTGAAGGGCTTGAGTGTTCATTTTGCGGCTTGGTTTTCTTCCCTGAAGCCTACGTTGAGGTATAACCTTGATAGCCATCGTGGCGCGTATTAGTTAGTGATCTGTCCAGCAGTCGGCGCTCGTCATAGCTCTGGTAAGGAACACATCACATTGATCTTTAGCACGGACAATAACATAGTCTAAGAGGTGCCAGTGGTTTGATCGAGGATGCCTCCATGAAGTTTTAAATTTATTTTTCTGTCAAAAGAGTGTTTTTGTAATAACAAGGTTGTGCGCTGCACATATCGTCAAAAGTAAGATTCCATTCTGGTTGCTGTTGCCAACTCCTTCTTTCCCAATAGTCCCAGGCCACAGATTGAAATCTCACCCAACTCTTGCATTAAAATCACCTAGAAGGATAATTTTATCTTCCTTAGGCGTCTCTGATAGGATGGTACCCAGCTGAGAGTAAAAATTTTCTTTAATGTCTTCATCGGCATCCAGTGTTGGTGCATAAGTGCTTATAATAGTAGCCTGTTGGTTTTTTGTGAGCTTTATTCGAAGGGTTGAGAGTCGCTCATTAATGCCAGTAGGGACTTCTGACAGGAGCTTCACAAGGTCATTTTTCATAGCGAAGCCTACCCATGTATTCAATGTTCTTGTTCAGATAGACCTTTCCAGAAGAATGTGTAGCCTCCTTTTTCTTCCTTCAATTGTCTTTTACAACCCCTGGCTGGTGACCCCACTGGGCGCGGTAATCCAGTCAGGGAAAAAGGGAGGCAGACTATGTTTAGTGCACCGTTTCCAGCCCCTTCCCCTTTTTGGGGTGAGCATAGTGGATCCTAAAAAGGGCTGCTCAGTCATGGATACAGCTGCTCAGCTGCTCAACTGCCTCATTCCTTGAGTCAAAACGACTGACCGCCCATGTGTCGGTTCATGACTAGGGGCTTCACATTCCTGCCCCTGTAGCCATTTAGTGATCGCCATGGGGGGAGGGTTTGGGGGGGTTGGGTTGGGTTTTTGGAAGACGCCTGTGCATGAATTTGTTTTATGTGTGTAGATCAGTGCCCGCTGACCAACGCACAGTCTTCGCAGTAGGGCTCTGTTCTGATGGCATGAGTAGTCACGACAAACTGGTGGATCCTATCTGCTGCAGCCTTCATCTGACTTCACAGCCGTTGTAACACAATGCTTGTTATCATCCACCTGTTCTGCCGTTGAGGACTTCCTGGATCATTCTGTGTCTAGCTCCTTCCCTGTTATGTACTAAGCTTGGATCCTAGAACAATAGGCAAGTAGGATCCTAGAATGCAAGAACTGATTGGCTTGCAGGAAAAGACCAATCAGGCTCCAGGAGGGAAGCAGAATCAGCCAGTCAGATGGGACTCGTTGTGTAAATAATGTATATAAAAGCCTGAGGTTTGGGGGAAAATTCAGTCACTGTTTTACAAGCTGCAATAAAGAGCATGAAATCACTACAGGACTCTGAGCATATTTAATTTTCTTTGACCTTACCGCCTTGGGTGACCCTGCTGGGAGTACGAGGTTCCCAATGGCTTCGCTCACAAGGGTCATAGGAATGTGCAAGCCCACTCACCATGACATGTGAGAGAACTGAGATAGATTGCACTGAGCCCTGGTCTCATTAGACAAAGCGTTCCACCAAAAAGGCTCTGTCTCTGGACGAGGACAGCTGGATATGTTTTGGGCCAGGGACCACCAGTAGGTTGCTGTTAGATGAGCGTCACACTCATGGGGGGTGTATTGGAAGATAATTCCCACAGATAAGAAAGGTCACAGCCTGTTTAGGGCTTTAAAGATTAGCACCAAAACATTGAACCTGATTCGATACTCCACCTGGAGCCAATCTAGCTGATGAACAACCAACTGAATGTAGGCTCTCCACAAAGTCCAAGTAAGAACTCATGCATCTGCATTTTAGACCATTTGGAGTTTCTGGAGCAGTCTCAAGGGTAGCCCTGCATATCTCTCTCTCTCTCTCTCTCTCTCTCTC